CAGCTGGCCTCATCTGGCTTTGGTTTGCTGAACATGCTGGCCTCATCTGGCTTTGGTGTGCTGGGTATGGTGGCAAAGGGATCATACTCTGGTGATTTTGCAGGCTCAAATGGAATATCTATGGGAGGTTCTTGCTCCAGCTTGATGGGATCATTGGCTTGGTAACCACTGGCCTCGCTGGTGGACAATCTGGGAGCCTTGGGCACATTGGTGCAATCTGCATCATTGGCCCTCATCCTGGCCAACTCCTGTGGCCTCCATTGGCCTTCATTGATGGTCATGTTGGACACAACAGTGTCACTGGAATCACTGGAGGTGGCACTGGTATCACTGGTGGTGGCCTGTGGATCCACTTGCTCTGCCATGGCTGCTGGTTTGTGGCACCTCGTTGGGCTTCAATGGGTTTGTAAATGGTTGGTAGAAATTACACTATTGGTGTAGCTACAGCCTAATTTAAAGTATTGATAGAACACTGCATATAGTGCTTATGTTCTACAGGTTCTGGCATGTTCTTCTGATGCATAAATGGCTATAATAGTAAATAGATATACTAGTATGTATGTATATATATATATCCTAAAGGCCACATTGGCTTTTGGGCCATATTGGCTTTTGATACAAGTTCACAACTGATGGGCCATATTGGCTTTTGATTCAATTTCACAATTTCAGTGAAAAAATGAAGGCCACAGTGGCTTTTTGCTCAACCATACAAATTAAATACACAATTAACAATATTTTGTTTGAATGAAATTTATGTTATTTTTATATTGTTGAAAAATTTTTGTTTTTGTTGAAAATATATCAAAACTAGTATTTACAATCACTATGTTTTATATTTTGTTTGCTTTGAAAACTATTAATATTTGCTTTTTTTAGTATTAAATTTATTTATCCAAATATGAAATTTAGATTTTGAGTCTTAATTTAACTTTCCAAATCCAAGATTTTAGATTCTGATTTTGAATCTAACTTTTTCCATCCAAAATTTTAGATTCAGATTCTGAATCTAACTCTCCAAATCCAAGATTTTAGATTCAGATTCTGAATCTAACTCTCCAAATCCAAGATTTTAGATTCAGATTCTGAATCTAACTTTTGAAACCAAAAATTTTAGATTCATATTTTGAGTCTAAGCTTTTAGACCTCGAACCTGTATGTTGAGATTCAATTCTATTAGATTTTGTTTCCTGAGTGTGCTTCACCAAAGATTTTTGTCCACAGTTTTAGTCATTAAGTCTTACTTTCTTTCTTTACTTCACAAAAAATACCCACCAGTTTAGTTATTAGATTTGGCCTCCTTACTTTACTTCACCTACAAAAATATGATTAGTTTTAATTATTAGGTTTTGTTTTCTTACTTTACTACACCAAAGATTTTTGTCCACAGTTTTAGTCATTAGGTTTTGCTTACTTTCTTTACTTCACCAAAAATGTTTGTCCACAGTTTTAGTCATTAGGTATTGACTTCTTCCTTTACTTCACCAAAAACTGTCCACAGTTTTAGTGAGATGATTTTGCTTTCTTCACTGGCTTCACCAAAAATGTTTGTCCACAGTTTTAGTGATTAGGTTTTGACTTCTTCCTTTACTCCACCAAAAACTGTCCACAGTTTTAGTGAGATGATTTTGCTTCCTTCCCTGGTTTCACCAAAAATGTTTGTCAATAGTTTTAGTCATTAGGTTTCGACTTCTTCCTTTACTTCACCAAAAACTGTCCACAGTTTTAGTTATTGGATTTTGTTTCCTTGCCTTACTTCAAAAAAAATGTTTCTCTACAGTTTTAGTCATTAGGTATTGTATATTTCCTTACAGCAAAATCAACAAAAACATTCAAAAGCAAATGATTATATATGTTTGTTCCCCAAATAGTGCTCCGCACTAAGGGGTTCTTACGGTAAGAGTTAAGCGGGTTTAGATAGGGTTCGCGCGTGTGGTTTCGGCATTTTGCGTGGGCCGGCTCGCACAAAAGTTACTTTTTGAATTCCTCATGCCCATTTCGACTGCGCAGGCTCGCATAAAGTGGTGGCCGCGCCTTTCGCGCTTCCGGGACAAAGCTCTCGTGCAGGTGCCGTGCTCGTTTTCGGACACGAAGTGCATTTTGCGTGGCAGGCGCAAGGAATTCGACGCATTGGAGCCTCGAAAAGGTCATTTTACGTGGCAGGCGCAAGGAATCGGAGACTTTGTAAATTTCGTGGCAGGCGCAGTGTTTTGTGGACGTTGCAAAAACGTTGGCAGGCGTGTGTCATTCGCAGGATTGCGTTTCGCGTGGCAGGCGCAGGGAATCCGCACCATGGATGCGATATTTTGAGGTGAAACGGCTGAATTCATGAGAGGGGTCGCATTTTTGGAATTTGAACTTGAGGATGCTTTTGCGTGGCCAGTGCAGCATTTCGTATGACCTGCAGGCATGATTTCGTCGCAGGCGCAGCATTTCTGAAACGCATTTCAAAATTTGCGAAAGCCTCGTGCAATTTGCTCATTTTGGATCTCCGATGTGCAGATTTCGTGGCAGGCGCAGCACTTTGTGAATCTGGATGTGCAGATTTCTTGGCAGGCGCAGCACTTTGTGAATCTCGATGTGCAGATTGCGTGGCAGGCGCAGCACTTTGTGAATCTCGATGCGCAGATTTCGTGGCAGGCGCAGCACTTCGTGAATCTCGATGCGCAGATTTCGCGGCAGGCGCAGCACTTTGTGAATCTCGATGTGCAGATTTCGTGGCAGGCGCAGCACTTTGTGAAGCTCGATGCGCAGATTTCGTGGCAGGCGCAGCACTTTGTGAATCTCGATGTGCAGATTTCGTGGCAGGCGCAGCACTGTGTGAATCTAGATGTGCAGATTTCGTGGCAGGCGCAGCACTTGCTGAGTCTGGAAGTGGAGATTTCGTGGCAGGTGCAGCACTTCGTGAATCTCGATGCGTAGATTTCGTAGCAGGCACAGCACTTTGTGAATCTCAATGTGCAGATTTCGTGGCAGGCGCAGTACTTTGTGAACCTCCACATGCAGATTTCGTAGCAGGCGCGGTACATTGTGAACTTTGAAATGCTCCTATGTATTCGCCTATGTGCTCTCAGATTTGTGCTCTCAGATGTGTGCTCTCATATGTGCTCCCATATGCTCTCATATGTGTGCTCTCATTTGTGCTCGTGAATCTGCACTCTCACATTTGCGCTCTCGTATGTATCCTCTCATATTTGCGCTCTCATCTGTGTGCTCCTTCTTTCCTTCCACGTGATGCCATGTTCCATCTGTTCCTCTTTACACTATTTGGGGTCCCTTGCCGGTGTAATTTTTTGTAGAGTGGCTGATGCACTGGCACTTCTTTTCCTGGAAGAGCAAACTGGCTTCACCACTCACTTGGTGGCTTTCATTGCCTTCATGGCCAGCTGTGGCTTCATTGGCGATGGTAGTGGTCCACCATTGGCAGCCCTTTGGGAAGCTCTGGCTCCATGGAGTCTGGCACTGGACACAATTGGCAATCTGGCCGAAGCGGCGCAGAAAGACCCAACTGGTGCACTGGCCACTTTGGCCTTGGCATTCAAGGGTGGCATCAAACAGCCCCCATGGCTTGGCCTGGGCAGGGACCACATCATCTGGTGTGGTCTCTGTGGACTTCATGGCCTTCATGGCCTTCATAGCCTTGCTGGCCTTCATGGCTGCCATCTTGGAGTTGGCCATGGCTGGTACTGCTGGCTTTGGTAGGGTGCAGTGGCTTGGGGCGCACTTGGTCACCTGGCAAAATGGCTGCAACACAAAATGGTTTAAACCTCACACAAAAACATAGTTGGCCAAAATTGCTTTTTGAACAATGGGCCATAAAATGGCTTTTGTAATATGTATATGCCATATATTGGCATTTGGAAATAGATTGGCCAACTTGGCTTTTGGAACCATGTGACCATAAAATAGGTTTCGCAAAACATATCTGCCATAGTGGCATTTGGAAGTGGATTGGCCAACTTTGCTTTTTGAAACATGAGCCATAAAATGACATTTGTAAAATGAATATATAGTGGCCTTTGGACATGGATTGGCCAACATGGCTTTTGTTTCTGCAGTCACATGGGCTTTTTTCAAACAATGCATTCATGGAAGCTGGCATCCACATGGTTCATGGAACTTGGCATCCACATGGTGTGGTGTGGGCAAATGGACCAAAGGTTGGCCCTGGCTTCCTCAGTGGTGCTGCTTCTGATGGGTGTCCTGCCAGGATGCAGCATGGCTGGTAAAAATTGAAAGCAAACATTGCAAACTCAGTGGTTGGCAATATATAATGGAAAATAAGCAAATATCTGGTAATCTACTGTGAATCATAATCTTCTGTCCTGGTTCGACTCTGATGGCATCATCTCCAAGTGGTGCCACACATGGCTGGCTGTTCATGCTGGTGAACCTCCATGGACGCCCACATGTTGGGCAATTCCTGGTCTCATGGTCCACATCCATGGCCATGATGAATGCATGGCAACTCTCTTGGCCATGGTAGCTGCAATGGTACCAAGCCAGTGGTCTCTTGTGTGGCTCCATCAAATGGAGGGCATATTGGGCAACCCTTTGGAGTTGGGTCCATTGGGGGTTGTCCACCCATGGGTTGGGATTCACCCATGGCACATTTATTGGTGTCTCAGTTTGGGCTTTTGGGTCTCTGCCAGAGCAACATGGCAGTGGCTGGCCCATGGCAATGCCTGTGAACTGCACTATGGGATTGGTGGCTTGGCTTGAGCCTTAAGAAAATATGGGATTGTGGAATTGTGGCCTGTCATGGATTGACTTTGTTGCATTCTGTAAGCCATTGTGGCCTTTGTTACATGCTACATGCCAAAGTGGCTTTTGTTGGTCTAGCACATGTTGTTTTCAGTGCTATGCTTCTGGTATTGCACATGTTGTTGGTATAGCACATGCTATGCTTTTGTTGCCTCAGCTTTCATACACTTGAATTGGGTGACACTCGAAGAGAAGTGAAACTTGTGGAGCTTGGTAGTCTTTGTGGACTCACAGTCTCATGTGGTCTTCCTCTTTTTCTTCTTGGCTGCAGTGGGAGCCTCATCCTCCTGCTCTTCCTCTGCATCCTTTGGGAAAATCAATTGAGTATTGGCTTCCACTGGCCCTGTGTTGGTCAGGATTGGAATCTTGCACTGATTCACTACCACTTGGTGCCATTCCAAATTGCACACATCCATGTCATTTGATGTCTTGGCCCACCAAAATGGCAGCAATGGATGCTCAGGCTTCTCAAACATGGAATCCATCTTCCATGGTGAGATCAGCCACTTCTTGGAGAATGCCTCAATGGTGAGCATGTTTGGCCTCTCATCAATGACCATGGTGATGTGCCCCAGTGGTACTAACTTCAGAGCACCCTTCTTGGTCACTTTGGCTAGTGTCCATAATCCTGCTGGGCGCAAGGAAAAAGCAATCTGCTTCTCAGACAAGGCATTGGACTGGGCAGCTTGGTGCAATGCCAAAGCCACCTGGTTCTTCTGGAAGTCTTGCTGCACGCTTGGGTGTGCCATGGAGACAGCAGCCTTGCAATAATGAGGTGGACACAGCTTTGGCATTGGAGTCTTGGCGGCTTTCCATTTCTTCAACTCCTCATGGTCCACTTCCAAGGATTGTGGATGCTCAAAAAGTGCATTGTGCTCAAAGATGGCATGCTGGTCATTAATGCTCTTGAGCTCCCAAACCTGGGTGCCATATTCCTTGTAATTGACATACCTGAGCCAAGCAGCAAGATGTCAACAAAAAAAGGAAACAACAAACATATCATATCATACCAAGGTGCCTTGAGCCAATCTTCAAGTGCTGGTTTGGGAGTTGGGCAATCTCTTTGGGGCTGGCTTTCAACACGTCCTTCACTTCCAAAGGGTTTGCTGTGGCTGGCTCCCCTGGGCCAGTCGAAGATGAAGCAGGTGGGTTCTGAACCTCTTCAGTGAAGGTCCATGGAGTCCCATGACTTGGCTTCCTTGGACACCTCTTGCTTCTGGGTGAGGAACAACAAGAGCCTCACTGTGAACTTACCAAAGCACTTGGTGTAGTGGAGCTCCATTTGGCTATTCTTGGTCACCAACTCCTGGTATGTTTCCCAAGCTTTGGCCAACATGGTCTCAGCCTGCTTGGTTTTCTCAATGGACAGGTGGCTTCTGAGTTTTTCAATGTCTGCCTTGGTGAACACTTTGGCGAACCCATCTTGAGATTTTTGTGGGTTGGTCAGCATGGTGGCCCACAGACCCATTCTCACCATGGGAAAGACTTGGCCACTGACCTTGAAATCAGTGTGGGCCAAAGCATGGAAGAAATCACCTTCCAATAGCAAGGCGCCACCAAACAGCTTGCCAAATTTGCCCAAGAAATGGATCAATGGAAAGTTGGGGCCTCCAGCAAATCTTTGGACATAGTGGGCAACAGCTGGGAGGCTCTGTTGACATTTGATGTCTCCTTGCTTGGCCTGGGTGATGGCTTCCTTGAGGTCCATACCATTCTGGAAGAATGTTGCCATTGTAGTGGCCAACTCCAGCTCAGTCTGTGGTCTTCCAATTGAGTTGGAAGAATTCATGGCCATTTGCACCCAACTGGGAAAAGTGGGGATGTGGTCTTCCATTTCATTGGAGACCACCACCCAGCTCCATCCCTCTGTAATGCATTTCCAGACTGGGTCATTCTTGGGGGCATCAGGCTGGCTTCCAGCTGGTCCAACACAATGGTGAAGGTCACAGTGTGGCTGGAACTCAAAGACAAATAGCCTGGGCAGTGTATGGGCCATGTGATGAACAAAAACTTATTGTATTGCCAACACATTTGAAATCAGTATATGCAGTATGGCTGTCAATGGTTTCATATAAACCATTGAAATATAGACAAGGAGCGTTCCTGGCCACTGAGAGGTGCAAGGTGGCCATTGGCTTCATGAAACAACTGCTCATTCTTGGAAACCTGGACCTTTCTCTTGGCTTCATCTTTGGACATCTCTATCGCTAAACCATGCAGAAGGCTGACCTGGATTCCAACACCCAGCATGGCTTTGCCCTTGGCCCAAGCATCATGGTAGGACACCATGGTCCCACCCCTGTTGTCAGGGTGGCATAGAACTTGTGAGGCTTCAGGACCACTCTGTGGGCCAACCCATGGGCTTCCAACAGGTCAATGGCCTGGCTGACTGACTTTCTGGTTGATGGCCAAACTGCCATCCATCATGGCTTTCACTTGGGCAGCCACTTTCTCCACCATGGCTAGTTCAGAAAAAGGCTTGGTACTTGATTTTTTACATACACATGCACTGATGGTGGACCTTGGTTGATTGCTGTTCTTCTTGGCTGTGCCATTTCCTTTATTTGTGAAAACAGCAGCACCATTCAAAAACATCAGCCTACATAGGTGCTGTCAATGGAACTGTGGATTGATAATGGTTCTTCTTGTTTTGGTGATTATTTTAACAATGGCCATGAGTGGCTTTTTGTGACTTTATTCTTGGTGCTATTTAGGCCAAACAATGGCTTTTGCAATCCTTGGCTGCAACTTCTCTTTTTGTTGCCACCACTGCTATGGTCACCTGTGGCTTGATTCTTTATTGGTGGCCTGGTAACTTCTGCTGGGTTGGGCAAAGGCAATTTGGCAGCCAGCTCTCAAATGGGAAATGACTTCCCTCAAGGGTTCTGGCTCCATGGCCACAAACAAATCCCACTTGGCTGGTCTTTGGCCACCAACCAAACATGGAATCTCAGTGGAACCCAATAGGATGGCTTGGGCTTTTCTTTTTTTGGTGCATTTGTTTTTGGGCATCTCTGAATCAAACAAGTCTTGGGTCTCTTCTGGTGCTGCAAAATATTCTTGGATCTTGTCATTCCTGGCTTGGACCAATGCTTGCAATTCCTTGCTCCTGGCCAAGCTGGGGTTCTTTGTGGGCAGCTTGCCACCGCAAACCAGTTGGCAAATGGCATAGTTGGTGGCACTGATCTTGAGGAACTTTTGGCCTTGGTGCTCCTCAACCAAGTCTGCAGCAATGCTCACTGGCTTCTCCTCTTGGTATGTGATTTGGCAGCGGTAGGAGATGTCCACCATTGCTGGCTGCAATTTGCTGGCGCTGGAGTTGGCAACTCTCTGGTTCCTAAAAATGCGGGTATAATGCATGCCCACAGAAAAAATGAAACCAAATATGGCAAAAACATGGCTTTTGTAGGTTGTGACATGTCATGCAGAATGTGCCACAAAACATGCATTTCTGTTTTGACAAGCTTTTGCATGTCCACCAAAAAGGAAGTCATTTTTGAAAATCTCAAAAACAAAAGAAGTTCAGGAAATAAATATGCTCAATTCAGCAACCAAAAAAACAGATATTTTTTGTTATGTTGTTTTTTGGTCCGCGCATATCCATTTAATGCAAATAATATACAACCAAATCATCATTTTCTGGTAAATGAAAATGAGCTAGATCAAGCTCAAAAAATTAAACAGAGTTAACATGAATTAAGTTAGTTACATAACTTCATCAGAAAGTTACTAACTAACTTAACATATGTTAAAAATTAACACTAGTTATACATAGTTAAAACCTAGTTATACTTAGTTAACACATAGTTGTAACTAGTTGCTAAATGAACATAAGTGATCATAATTATGTTAACTAGTTATAACAAAACAAGGATCTCAAGTATTTGTCAAGACTTGACGGATCATTGAGTTCCAAGCTGGCCGCCTTCGGGCATGCCTCTAGGTGACCGTAGCGGTCTCAAGTCGCCCGCCATTTTGGCATGGCGCAAGGTGACCACAGCGGTCAAAGCATTTTGGGGTTTGCTGGAACCTGTCGGGACCTCAACCCCTTCCTCCCCCTATACCTCTTTTCTTTGCCTTTTGGGGTGTTCCTGAATGTTACACTCAGGTACACTCCTCTCACTGCTGCGCCCCTGGACGCTTGCTCGTAGCTGAGAACACCTGTCCACTTCCCTCTCTCTTTTCCCCAAATCTTCGAAAAAAAAGAGCTGGCCGCTCTCACTGGCCTCGCCCCTGAACTCTGTGGCTGGGCTCTTTGTCCAGGCCTTGTCCTCCTCTTGTCCTCTGTGGCTCGGCTTCCTCCTCTTGTCCTCCCCTTGTCCTCCTCTTGTGCTTGTCTTGGCCGCGCTCCTGACGGCTGGGCTGTGGCTCGGCTCTGTGTCCGGGTCTTGTCCTCCTCTTGTCCTTGTCTTGGCCGCGCCCCTGAACTCTGTGGCTGGTCTCTGTGGCCGGCTTAGCGCAAAGGAGTGTGGCCGAACAAATAGCGATGTCAATGCCGACAAAAATTCATTGACGAAGCAGTCAGCTCTTGGGGTGAAGGTGGGGCTTACCAAGAAATCGATTTTTGATTAATATCGGTCCAAACGAATCGTTTTGAAGCTGTTTGGGGTCTATGCTGGTACAGTTCCTTTCTTTTCCATCCTTTGTGTTTGGGCGTCCCTGGATGCTTTCGTCGTAACCCTTCTCTTTTTCTCTTGGTGTGTCCTTGGAGGAACACCTTCATTTCCTTTTCTTCCTTTCCTCTCCCTACCCTCCCTCCCTCCCTCCCCTCCCCTCCCCTCCCCTCTCCCCCCCCCCTCCCCCCCCGTCACTCCCCTCTCCTCCCCCCTTCCCCTCGTGTGTTTTTCTCGGTCCGTCACCCTCTCAAGACAGCATGCAGTGGTGAAACAAAAAGATATGCAAAATCGGGTCAGGATCGCGGGGAGAGCTCCAGGGTGTGCTGCAGGGAGTTTCTTCGCGCAGCGCTGTGACCACGTGGAGGTCGCCTTGGTAGCGCATAATAAGCTGGTCGGGCCGCATGTCGCGGAAGCCAGCGCAGCGTCAACGGCTCTGGCCAGAGGAAAGGCTGCGAGGGGCGAGCGATGGAATCGCTCGGTCTGTCGGCTTGTTTCCAAGGCCTTGTGGAGAAGGCCAAAAGCCTGTATACGGTCAGACGGCCATGGCATCCCGAGTGGAAGCCGCGGTGGAAAGCTGCGAGAGCCAAAGGAATGCCAGACGCCAGAGTTCGCAGCGCAGGACCGTCTTCCTGAAGCTAAGCCGCCGCAGGATCGGGCGGAACCGTTGGCTCTGGAAGACAAGCGGTCCGTTCACCCGCGAGTTGAGCTGCTGGTGAACACTGCCAGCCAGGATCAAGTCCTGGCCCTTTTGGGCGGTGCAGAAGAGCTGATGTTGACAGCTTACACGTTCGACCAGCCGGACGTGATCGACAGTCTCATCAAGCACCGCGGCGTCACAAGAATTCTTGCCGATAAAGGCCAAAGCCAAGGAGAGAGGACAAGGCTTCAAAGGCAATCCTTGCTACAAGTCGCACGGGCAGGGATCAGGGTGCGTTTGACTTCAGGGACGTCAATCGCAGAAGCCTATGAGGGCGATCGACGGGGAACGTCCGTCGGCAAGAGCTTGAAGGGGATCCAACACTCAAAGACCCTGTGTCTCGAGGGCAGAGTTGGGTCACCCCAGTTACATGATCGTGGGAAGCTCGAACTATACCACGAGTAGCCGAGCAAATGTGGAGCTCGGGTTGTTGGTTCATGGGTCAATGGGAGGACGAGATCTTCCAGACCTACGCGAACCACTTCGAGAGGCTCTGGCAGGCATCTGAAGTCTTCGGGGGAGAAGACAAGAAGGAGGAAGAAGGAAAGCCATCACGGAGACGCGTGACGGGCAAGCAGAGCCAGAGCTCGCTAGCAGCGGCAGAGGGGTGAGCCGCCGCCAGCGGCAGTGCTCGCAGTTCGCGGCACTGCGCGGCGAGGCGTGCTACAGAGATGGGTCCCACAGCCGCAGAACCCATCTGAGGGGCGAGTGTGGAACCATGTTGCCTCGCCTAGTTCATGTGTGTTTGTTTCACTTGTTGCATGATACTGTTTTTGGCTCAAGTGACTTGGCTAGGAGTAGCGTAAGTAGCTTCTCAGGTTCACTAGGCCGTCTCACCAGCCTGACCGGCGACCTCGCTCGTGCGAGTGAAAACAGCTGCGCGGCGTATGGTACGCGTGCTCGCGCAGGTGTGAGTTGTCCCTGGACCAACGAAGACGGACTCGCAACTGGTGAAGCGAGAAGGGACGCCTTCTTGTGTACCTGCATTATAATTTTGACACTTTGTAGCGCGTTTGTTAAACTGCTCTGTTCTCCGGACCCTTTCGCCTGACTGTTTTTGCAGTAAAGTGCTAAAAGTGCTAGTGAGTTTGTTAATCAGTTCTGTTCTCCGGGCCCTTTCCCTTGACCGTTTTTTCTAGTCAAGGGCTAGGTATTCAGTCCAAGCTGATATAGCTCTTGCGAGCATGGATCCAAGTGTGTTTCGCAACAGGGTCGCTCTGCGGTCTGTTGTGTGATCCCCGCCAGCAGCTGCAGCCACATACCCTCAGGGGGGATTCTCACAGGATATTCGTCTTGCTCGATTCTTGATGAACTCTCGTTTCTGCTCGAGATTGCTGCTACGAATGTCATGACATGCGGCTGAATATTCACAAACTGAGTAATTCACGCATGGTCTTGCTTTCTCTCCTTCCGGGTTTTTCTCTTTCTAGGTCTTTTGTTCGTTGCTAGAGGCTTGTTCGGTTGCAGGTTAAGTTTTTAGTCAAGGGTGCGCCGACTTCGGGTTTCTGACCAAGTGCCTTCCGGCCAAGTGTCTTACACCTCCCCACGCACACCCCCTTTCTCTCCTTGCTTTCTTTTGTTCGTTAGGTCTTCTCTCAGGCTTGTTAGGTTACGTTTAGGCTTGCTTAGTCGATGCACAACCGCCCCCTGGCGAGAGAAAAAAGAGCGCGAAAGGGAGCGCCGGATACGGCAACGTGTGTGTGTGTGTCCACACCTGTACCGAAGGACACCAACCAGCGCACTCTAATCAGGGGGCCCATGGACACTTGGATGGCATGGGCCAACGAAGAAGCTGTCGCCCAAACGTACCTGCAAACTTTTGACATCTCTCGTTTTGAACTGTTGACCAAGCCGTTCACTCCACTTTTACCTAAAGGGCTAACGCGCGATGTTCAAACACTTCAGTTCTGCCGACCCAGCATTCTTTCAGTTCTGCAAGTCAAGGTCTAATGCACCGGTAATGTATTCACTAGAGTGGATTACCTCAACTGATTTAGCTCTTGCGAACATCAATCTAAGTTAAGTGTCTCGCCACAGAGTCCCACTGCGGGCTGTGGCGTGGTCCCCAGCGAGGGGTGCAGCGTGTGCGCAGGCCCTTAAAGGGTGACCCCCTATGATCCTTCCGACTGCGCGTGATCTTCATTGTGGACTTCATTGGAGTTTCTGATTTGCGTGAAAGCGCTGATCCGACGCTGCAGGGCTTACTGAGATCAAAGTTCCAAGACCATACCGCTAAGTATTCACATGTCACGCCGCTAAGTATTCATAGGCCATAGGACTTCTCGGTTCTTTCCCTCCTGCGGTTGCTCTTTGTTTTCTAGGTCTTCTTTCGTTTTCTAGAGGCTTTTTAGGTGTAATTAAGGCCTTTAAGTCCAGGGAGCGCCGGTTACGGCTTTTCGTCAACGCCTTCGGGCAAGGACACCCCACCCCCCCACCCCTCGCACCTTTCGTTCCTTGCCCTTTTGCGTTTGCTTGGGCTTTCCTTCAGGCTTGTTAGGTCGGCGTTTAGGCCCGTTTAGTCAACGCACGCCCTGCCCACACCCCCGCACCCTTGCACCTGTCCTTTCTTTCCTTGCCTTTTTCGTTTGCCTTGTTCTTTCTTTCAGGCTGGCTTGTTAGGTTGGCATCCAGGCTCGTTTAGTCGACGCACTCCCACACCCTTTCCCCCCCCTCTCCCCGCGGACAAAAGAGTGAGCGCCGACTTATGGCCCTGTGCGTGTGTGTCCACACCTGTCCCGAAGGACACCAACCAGAGCACGCTAATTCGTTCTACTATTACTTTTAACTCACTAGGCAGGGGGGCCAACGAAGACCCATCCAAGCTGTCGTGCACACGTACCTGCAAACTTTTGACATCTCTCGTTTTGAACTGTTGACCAAGCCGTTCACTCCACTTTTACCTAAAGGGCTAACGCGCGATGTTCAAACACTTCAGTTCTGCCGACCCAGCATTCTTTCAGTTCTGCAAGTCAAGGTCT